ATATGTTTATATATAATAATAACAGAAAAAACAGAAATAATAATAAAAATTATAGCTAGTATTTATATAGCACTTTTTACAAAGCACTTTACAAAGACTATCTCATTATCCTCAGAACAACCCCTGGGAGGTAGGTGCCATTATCATCCCCATTTTTACATATGGAGAAACTGAAGCAGGCAGAGGGTAAGTAGCTTGCCCAGGGTCACAAAGTTAGTGTCCAAGGTCACTTCTGAACTTGGGTCTTCCTGGCTCCAGGCCCAGTGTTGTCTCCACTGCACCACCTAGCAGCCTGTAAGCCACATAAGCCAAGGGAGGGAAAAAGATCCAAGAACCACTTGATGATGGTGAATAACAATGTCAAAAGCTGGAGTCAAGGAGAAGGAAGAATGAGAAGTCACTGCACGTAGGAATTAAGACATCAAAGAAAGTTCCAGTTCCAGGACAGCGGTAGGTTCAGAATCCAGACTTAAGAGGCTGAAATGAGAGTAGATGGAAAGAAAGAAGGGATAGCAAACATAAACTATTCAGGAGTTTGCCAACAAAAGGAATAAGAAACATAAGACAAATGGATGGGAAGATAAATTTAAGAGTTTCCTTTCTTTGTTTTTAAAGGTTGGGAAAAAACGTGTGAATGTCTGTAAGCTTCAGGGAAGGAATCAGAAGAAAGGAAGAGACTAAAGAGAAGAGAGGGACTGATGAAGTAAACGTCTAGAAGGAAGAGGACAGGATGAGAATTTGGAAGGATGGAGTAACTAGCCTTAAAAGCAAAGAGAAGCAACCTTGTCTTCAGAGACTGAAGCTGAGGAGGTGAAGATGTAAGGAGGTTTTGAGGGAAGATTACAACTAATGGCCTTGATTCTCTCAGTAAGGCAGCTATGTAGGTTTGTCTGTTGGAGACCGAGGGAAGAAGAGGAGAAAAAAGATAAGAAAGGAAGGTGGTGTTTGGATCAGCTTAGATGGTGTGTAGGGAGAGGAACATGTCAGAGTATCAATCAAAAAGGAAAAAAAAAAGGATTCTTATGTAGCAATCGGGGTCCAAATAAGATTAGACAGCATGGGATTGCAGTAGACTTAGTTGGCAAGATTATCTGATTTCTTCTAAAGGCACTCAGCAACACTGGGAGCTGAAAAGGAAGATGGTGGGTTTGAGGATCGACAGGAATGAACTGTTGACAGGCAAGACTTGGTCAAGTGATTTAAAAGCAATATCTCTATGCACAATTAATTAGTCAACTGTGAACAGAGTAGTAATCATGAGAATGAAAAATAGATTTGGGAGCAAAGCAGGGGAAAGACAAAAGGATAGGAGCTCATGATGTGAACAAGAATAAGCAACACATTCACAGGTGAACATAAGACCTAAAGTATGATCAGCTACAGGGGTTGCTTACAAAGAATGAAAATAAATGTAATAGGATTAAAAGAAGTCAACAAGCTGGGTGTGGCAAAGAGGTTTAAGGGGACACCAACATGCACTCTACATTCCCCAAGGATGAGGGTAGTAGTGATGAGGAAGAATGCATGGCAGGTACCAAATTCCTTAATCAGAAAAATTTTAACTTGAAGGCTGGTAGATGACAGTTTTTGACACCATATTGTTTTGGTAGAACACTCATTCTAGAGAGACCAGAAAAAAGGATACACGTAAAAAAAACAGAATGCTAGATCAGGAAAAGACCTCAAAACATCAAGATGACTGTCCCCCCAGAGTCTACCTTAATAACTCTAGTCAGGCAAGTATCCATCCACATGCCTTATCGTCTTAAATCCGAATATTTGGGAACAGAAAGGGCCCAATTCAAGTAACACTCTACCATGTAACCTCATGTCCCTACTATGCAGATGAAGACCAGAAATGCTGAGTTTAAACACAAAACTAAAGAATGGGAAATAAAAAGGCAACAGAATGCTGAGCCCCAACCACCCTCACAATCAAAAACTCAGTGACACTAAAACCACCAAAAGAAAACTCTAATTCTATTCAAGAGGAACATAATAAAGACAACTGAATGAATGTAGCTCATCCCAAAGCTACAATCAATCATGAGCATTTATTAAGCACCTCTCGTGCACCAGATACTACACTAGGCCCTAAGGGTATAAAACGTGATGCAGGGGACACAGTGCCAGGCCTGGAGTCAAGAAGGCTCATCTTCTTGAGTTCAAGTCTGGCCTTCGATAATTACTAACTGTGTGACCCTGGGCAAATCACTTAACCTTGTCGGCCTCAGTTTCCTCATTTGTAAAATGAGCTGGAGAAGGAAAAGGCAAACCACTCCAGTGTCTATGCCAAGAAAACTCCAAATGGGATCACAGAGAGTCAGACATGACTGAAAAAAAGACTGACTAAATCACTAAGAGAGGAAAGACACTTAACTCTGTGGAGAGAAGGTAGCAGAATTCCAATCAACTACAGGCTATCTTCATCACATCTCCCTACCTGTCTGCAATCAGCCAGTGAAGAGCTCAGACTAGTCAACATTCATCTGTTCAACAGTAAATGGGGTCAGATTAAATATCCTTGCTACCTGAAGGGAGCCTGTAACTGTAATTCACCCTCTCTGGCATTAGGGAAATGAGATTATAATGAAAACACTCCATTTGTTCCTGTATCGAAAATAATTTTTAAATATTTGGAACAACCTGATTCCTTGATTTTCCCATTTTTAACACAAAGATAATATCTTTCCTCCTAACTCATATGAGTGCTGATAGCTTTAATGAGACTACAGCCAAGTTTTCATCTTGTAATTACTATATTTGGAGAAGAACTGAAAGGTGCTGAGCCTGTGTTTCCATTTCCTCTCTTTTCTTCCTCCCATACCACCCTCTTTTCCTACTAAAATGTTGAAAGAAAACTTTCAGATGATGACTGGCTCTTCTCATGTCTTTAAGCACTGCCATGAGCTCTGCAGAGAAAAAAGAACTACATTTGTCTTAGAAAATGAATGAGATTTTTTTAAGATTGAAAAAGGCATTCAGTGCCTTTTTAAGATTGAAAAAGGCATTCAGATTCCATAGACAAATATCTCATGGTAACATTTTCTATTCCTTCTATCTGAAGATGATTTCATGATTTCAGTTTCAGGGATATCCCAAAACATTTAACAAGCTACTAATAATTCTTTGTTTGGTTATCAGTTTTTGAAATGAATGACAAAGGAATTTCCTCCAAAATTTTATATGGTAATTATATCCTGAACTGATATTTACAGAGCCACAAAGTACAATTTTCTCTGCTAAGCCATAGCTTTTCCATGGGATCCAATCTTAGATACTTCCTCACAATACTGACATGCCCTTTGTTTCTTTGCCTATGGAAATGGATTGTTATTATACTCCAAAATTACCCAGATTATAAATGGATTTCTTGGCTGCCTTTCAAAACGTTGCCAACAACAATAATAATGAAATACCATCTAACATTTCTATAATCTCTCACAAATTTTAAAAGGAATACAAATACTTAGGGGAAGAGAATTAGGAAGAAAATATTTTGCAATTAAAAGTCCTTTGGTACAGCTACAGAAAAAAAATTTGGATTTGTATTATATGATCAGAGATAGATTAAATAATTCCTTTTATAGTTTTAATTGGAAGAAGGGAGTTGGGGGGGGCGGGTTCTTGGGGAGGACATCTGACCCTGTGATCTAATGGGATCTCCCAATAAAAAAAAATTTTTTTCTCTACTAATGCTGATTAACAACTCTTCTGGTACTTACAGTCCTAAAGAGGTACCTATAGAACTGAGAAGTTAAGTGATTTGTCCATGGTCACATAAACAATATACGTCAATCAGGAATTGAAACCAGGTCTTTCTGACTCTGAAGCCAACTCTATCTACTATACTATGCCGCCTCTCTTGAGAAACTAATGCCTAAGGAAAATGCTCTGATGTTTTTAATAACCCCAAGCAGTTGAGTTTCTTTCCAAAGCTGGCTTTTCCAAAGGAAAGAACATTTTTCCTTGTATCTCTAATTCCTCAATAACTTCATTTCTTTCTAACTAAAAGTTTCACATCCAAATGTTGATAAGGTCCACAAGCGATGAGACATTTAACAGGACACTGCAAAATGTCTCACATCCAATAATAATACTTTCAGCCAATAATAAATGTGCTTCTCATACACATGATATGCACCTGTTTGAAAACAGATTGTGCAATTAATGGTAAAAAAAAAAAGTGTCAAAAGAACAACTCCAGGAATACTGGAGAGAACTCTGAAAGCTCAAATGTTCCCATATTGTTTAACGGCTTATTCTGACTCTCATCAAAATAGATCACCACTCTTATTTCCTGTGATGTTGCAACTTCTGAGAAAATCCTAAATCTTGAGCTGGAAGGATTCTCAGAGACCACCTTCTAGTGGAAACCCCTCATCTTGCAAATGAGGAAACTTATGCCCAGAGAGATTAAGTGATACAAGTAGTAAGTATCAGTCAGGATTTGGCCACGGATCTTTTGACTGCACCCGAGCTGCCATCTCTTATCTCCTATTAGACTGTAAATTCCAATGTTTCGGTGGCTAGAAAGCAATTGTGCACACAGTATATGTTTAATAAATGGTTTAGGAGGGGGTTTTTTGCCACTTCTTTATCACATATTATTTACTGAGTTCTAAGATGACAGTCTTTAGAAGCTATTCAAAAAATGCATACTTAACCTTTAACAATCTGTGTTCAGAATACATAGAAGCTAGGAAGTCTGTCCCACAAGCACATCATTCAGTAGATACTATAAACCCAGTTTTCAAAATGGCTCCTTATTGAGTCTTGGCTTTTCCTTGCTTAATCAGCGAGATTTGAGAAGTGTGGGAAATAAAATTTTGTGGCTATAAATAGCAAAGGCCTTGCAGGTCTCAAACATCTTTTTATTTATCAATTTATTTCCCAGGATCCAAAAAATGAACCTGGACACCCATTTAACTCTAAGGAGGGAAAATTCTTTTGGAAGACATTGTCCACATTAAAATGTTATTACATGCATTAACTTTTACCTGAAGGTGGGTCCATTCTGTATTTATTCTCTTGACACCAACCGACTGGTCGAAGTCTGTAATCCAAGTAAAACAACCACTGGTCATAGGATTCAGTCTCCTCCAATCCCACATAGCGAAGGCGTAATCTTCCTCCAACATTTTCAATCACACTAACTATCCAGTACTGAAAAGGGTTCTGAGAATCCTGAAGTTCTATTAAGGAATCAACTGTAATGAGGTCTACAGGGTTTTTCCCTCGCAGAGGCTGTTTAAACAGAAGCAAAACTCCTTATTTTAAACTTTATTTTGAGACTTCTCATGGAAACAGATGACAGCAGAAGATTATATTTTTTCACACTACCATCCAAGCTATCATCAAACAGTCTGGTGTTTCCCTTCCCCCACCCCATCCTCTCCACAGCCAACCCCCACGCTTCCCTTCTTACACACACACACACACACACACACACACTCTCTCTCTCTCTCTCTCTCTCTCTCTCTCTCTCTCTCTCTCTCTCTCTCTCTCTCCACAATTTTGCCAATTTCTATAGTCTAGCAACAAAATCACATGTAAACAGAAAATAACAGTTTGCCCTATTTCTTACCAAACAAACCACCACCATCACCACCCCACCTCCCTTCCCCATCTGGGTAAAGATGTCTTTAGGATAATTTTAAGAGGCAGAATAATGTTGGAGCATAAAATATGTATTAATTAACAGAGAAAAGTCTACTACACTCTTAATAGATGGTTATGATAGGGGTTGTTAAAATAACATGATTCTACTCTTCCAAAAATATTCAGCACCATTTTACATATTGAGTAGTCTCTCATAATATAGATATGTCTCTGTCATGGTTAATGTCCATCAGTAATTAACTAATTTGTAAACCATGACCGTGTAGTTATTTCTTTTCTGAAACTGCCCCTATAGTTGGTTTATTTAACCTACAACAGCTGAAATCCTCATTAAGAATTGTTACCAGATTAAAAGGTATTTAAATAATTACCCTTGCTGAGAAAAAAGTAGTGTAAACTATCTATTTCTAACACATTTTGATTTTCTAATCATACCAAATAATGACAGCAGCCATCAATTAAATAGAAAATTGGAGTTTTCCAGGGCTTTTTTTTTTAAAGAAATGTCAAAATGATTAACTTACTTACTGATGGCCATTTGCTAGTAGAGGACAGATGCATGCTCATATTTTTCTCGTGTGTGTGTGTGTGTGTGTGTGTGTGTGTGTGTGTGTGTGTGTGTGTGTGTAAAAGGGAGAAAGTTCTTAAGGACAAAACTCTACATACTATATCACCTTTTTTAAACCTAAATGGATTGTTTCTTCAATTTAGCATTCTTGTACAAAAAGGAGCCAGACCAAAACGCTTTGCCTTTTTTCTTAGGGGATTATTAAATGATAGATTCTGCAAAACCAGATGAAATACATTTGGCAGTTCATTTTTCAGTCCAATAATGGTATATACCTCAGTACAATAATTTTCTTATTTTCATTTTACATAGTAAATATACAAATATGTCTTGTCACAACAGTCTGTCAAAGCAAAATAATGTTTCCAAATGCACTCTCATGATTGTCAGTTATAATATTATTTTCTTCAGCACAACCTATAGCTTAATGCCGAAGTCTAATATTTACCTTAATCCTTTAAAAAAAAAAAACAACAGAGTAAGCCATTTCCATGCTGGTTTGCATAAGGAAAGCTTACTAGGTTATTAATTTTCACTTGAGCTATCTTACCACAGGGTAATCCTTCTGAAATAAAATATTTAGTGTGGAACCATTTATTAAACTAATCCAAGAGTCTGCACTAGAATGTGTCTAACTTCAGTCGTAACATGAGGTCCTACAAAATATGACAGTAAGCCCCATATTTACTACAGTAATGTAGTGATTGATGCACATGTTACCACGGATGAAGATTCTGCATCGCCATGAGGATAAATGGCCAAGATCCATGCAGAGCTCTAGATGTACTCCAAATCAAGTGCACAAAGGCACAAGATCTAAACTGTTTATGCCAAATATAACACATTTGGTATTTCTGGGTCCTAAGCTAGAGTGTCTGCACAGGAAAAATGTGACCAGTCCAATCAAAAAGTAAACTATAAAACAACATAATACATAATACATACACCTTCCAGTAAATTGGCGGGTGCTGTTCGAGAGCCAGTCAAATCATGTATAAGAAAATCCGTCCAGTCTGTGTACTTCTCTTTGATGGCTGTGAAAAGGTGAGGAAAGAACATGTAAACACAAAAAAGTCAACCAACTGCTATTTCAATGACTCTAAGGGGCCAATGAATCCACCCCCAAATACTCGTCTATTCTAGGAACAAACATTATGCACAGGTATTAAAAAGCAGTATAAAGACGCAGACCTTGCTTTTAAGAACTTTACCATCTCAGGGAAGATTTGAATTCAATCTCAATACAAACCAGTACATTAGATATTGCTGAACTAGAGGGCACAAAGAACAAATACTATAGAAAGTCAGAGATGGAAAAGATTGGTGAGGACAGACCGGACTACAGAAAACATAGGTCAGAGGACTGAGAACTAAATAAAAGGGATGTTCCCTAGCACAAAGAAAGTACAGGGACAGATTACTGAAGGCTTCCAAAGCCAGGGAAATTTGATGTAACAGCCAATAACAAGCCTCTGAATAGGCAGAAGAAGGTAGGTTAGATTGACAAGGCAAACAATGGGTTGGAGGGATGGGGGGGCGGATAAAATGTGCAGTGTTAGAAAAGGCAGTAGAAATGGTCAGGCAGCACCTGAACCCTCTAGGAGGGGGGTGGTACTAAGAACAAGGAAGAGACAAAAGGAAGGATAAGCACAGTTTGATTGTTAACCAAGAGACAAAGACAGGGAGGAAATCAAAGACCACCCCCAAGGTTTGGGAGTGTCTTAGGATCCAAAGGAATGGGTCCAGATTGGGTTGTATTTCACATATAGCAAAGTACAGTCTGTACATAAAATAAACATTTGAACACACACATACAACTGCTTTCTAAAGCTGTTTAACTGAATTCTGCATGAAGGAACATTTCTTACAATCGTGAAATTATACGTAAAATTTGTTTATTAATGCTTAGATGTACACAAAGACTTTTCAAAAATGTTACCATTCATTGCCACCAGGCATATGAAAAAGAAAGGGCATTCCTTTTAGGAGTGCACATGAGAAAAGCATAGCTAAACAACTATAGCTGCCAGGAGAAAGAAAGAAAGAAAGAAAGAAAGAAAGAAAGAAAGAAAGAAAGAAAGAAAGAAAGAAAGAAAGAAAAGAAAGAAAGAAAGAAAGAAAGAAAGAAAGAAAGAAAGAAAGAAAGAAAGAAAGAAAGAAAGAAAGAAAGAAAGAAAGAAAGAAAGAAAGAAAGAAAGAAAGAAAGAAAGAAAGAAAGAAAGAAAGAAAGAAAGAAAGAAAGCAAGCTTGTCCATGGAGAATAAATGTCAAGGGTGGGGCAGGGACCATCTCCAGTTGTCCTGATCTACATCTGGCCAGTGGACCCAGACGGCTCCAGAGGAGAAAGTGAGGCTAGTGACTTTGAACAGTCCTCCCTCACTTCAATCCAATTCACTTGTAAGCGATGGCATTGTCTTCCTAACATCATGGTCCTCTTCGAGAAGGAAGGACAAACAACAATGGTCAAGGAAGACAGTATCTGTCTTGCAAGATTCATGAACATGCTAAACACAACACAACTATTAACTAGGTGGCACAAGGGACAGAGAGAACTGAACTTGAAGTCCTATCTCAAACACTGACTAGCTGTGTGACCTTGGGCAAGTCACTTAACCTCTGCCTCATTTTCTCATCTGAGAACCGACGACAATAATAACACCTACCTCCCAAGATTGTCGTAAGGATCAAATGACACAATTTTGCAATAACAAATATATTTAAAACAAATAAAAAGATCTAATACTTTATTAACCTTAAAGTTAATAAGTGCTTAATCCTTAATAAAGGCTAAACTCCCCTATTTATACATTTTGACTTTTAGGTCCAAACTGAGATGAGAAATACGTTATAAAGCAATTCCTTTTATTCAACTTCTGAACATTTATTAAGCTTTCTGGAAATAGGGAAATTGAGCCATTCCCTGGATCATCAAATAGCCATGTTTTTCAACATAAGCAGATAGATTTTAATCTATAGCAGATAGCCCTATCAACTCAGCATCCATTCAGGCCATTCTTACCTTGGCTAAAACCAGGCAGATCATTAAGTGTTATTTCAAGACCTTAAGAATTTTTAAATCCAGCAACACTTTAGAATAACATATTTTTATACAACAGTGCCTCAGTGAAAAAGTCATATCTCACAAAAGGAATAAGTACATGAGTAAACCTAAATTCCAATCTGCCATCATTTTTGTGAGTATATTCAGGATGACAGGAAAATATTATATATCTTCATCTGAGCTAGAAATGTCCTCTGAAAGAAAACAAGTACAGAGCAGAAGACAGCAGACAGAATTACTTTGATTCAAGCTTTCAGAATTCGGAAAAATATGACAATTCTAGACTTTGAACCCAAGCTAACACGGTGCAAACAGTCCAACAACTTGTCAGCTTGAAGGGAATGCTCCTCGGGACAAACTGTCCACCTGTACATAGACCCCAATCAGGGTAGCATGTTCAGGCCCTCTCCTTGAACAATCAGACTCTTGCAATGGGGGTCAAATGTATTAAAGGTGACAACCTACTCTCCTCATCATCTGATTGATATAGCAGACAGCAAGTCAAACATCACATCCTAAGTGTATCAGCTCTTTTTTGTGAGTTCAGGGAGGTGCATAGGTGCCCTCTGCTGAAATACAGATCAAGTCTCATTCCAAAGTATTTCTTCTCAGGCACATGCAGTCAGGAAATTCTTTGGATGACAAAATAACAAAACTGGAATTTCTCTTAATTTTCTTTCAAGTAGTAAAGAATTACTGTTTTGCAGCCAGTTGTTTCCTTCTGAAAAGACAAAGTTCCTATAATTTACCTCTGGGCTAATGCAACTTAAGACTTTTGAGAGTCCCCTGGACAGCAAGGAAATCAAATCAGTCAATACTTAAGAAATTAATTCAGCCTGTTCACTGGAAGGTCAAATATTGAAGTTGAAGCTTAAATACTTTGGCCACATAATGAGATGATGGGGCTTGCTGGAAAAGACCCTGATGTTGGGAAAGATTGAAGGCAAAAGGAAAAGGGGGTGACAGAAAGTGAGATGGATAGATAGTGTCATGAAAACAACAAACACGAACTTGGACAGATTTCGAGAGATAGTAAAGACAAAAGGGCCTGGCATGCTTTGGTCCCTAGGGTCACCAAGAGCTGGACATGACTGAATGACAACAAAAACAATGCAACATAAATGATAACTTGAAAAAAATTTCTATCACGCGTTACTTTTATAAAAAAGTTAGCAAGCTCCATGATGAGATAGGGTGATAGGCACACCCTATTAAGAGTAAATGCCCACACATACAAAGGATGCTAAAAGAAGGTTTGCTAGATAGCGAGGTTTTCTTCATTAGATTAGTAAGTACTGTATTCCTGAAAAGATATTTAAAGGCTTTGGTCTGATTGATACTATCTGGTTGAAAAATGGAAAAATTTAAATTATTTCATCTCTCAACCTAACTCCTCTTTGTTCCTTACTACTATCTAAGGGATTTTCTTTTCCAGCAATTTTCTTTTCTTTTAAAAACAAATTTTAAACAACCAGTTGTTCCTAGCTTCTAGAATAAACTATTTCTCTCCTGAAGGGTCCAACTACACTGTAAAATACAGTTAAACAGAACAGTTTTCAAAACAGGTTTCCGCACACTATCAAACAACTCAATTATCTGGTCTTACACACACACACAACCACACACACACACACACACACACACACACACACGCACGCTTTGAAGCTATCTGGCATTATGTAAGCAAAACACTAATCCAGCATCTATAATGGACTGTAACAATGTTAAGAATGTGCCATGGTCCCTGCAGTCACAAGAAATCTGTTGCAAAAATGCATTCATTGGTACACAACACACCACAGTAGAGTCTGGCTGTTTAAAGACCACCACACACACACACACACACACACACACACACACACAAAATAAAACCAATGACCAAGACAGAACAGAAACGGCTGAGGGGGAAAGACAGGCTCATGTATCAACAGCAACAGTGGCAGTAGGTGATTTCCAGGCAACTCACGTTCCAAAATTGGATTGTTCTCCCTTAGAAAAAGTCATCTATTCCTAAAAGGTGTCTGTCTGTGACTTAATTCATCCATTCAGACTCACCCTTGTTCATAACAGGAATGGACCCATAAAACAAGACAATAAAGTATAAAAGGCTAAAGAGGGAACTTAGCGCATCTTGACATACCTGGAAACTTACTAACACAGGACAAGGAGAGGCAGTCTTGAATTGTTGCTTTTCAGATTTAGGGTACATAGGAGGAAAAACAGCACAATGGAAAGAGTCAATCAACAAACATTTATTAAGCATCTATTATGCGCCAGGCACCAGACTAAGACTCAAATGTCCTCGTTCTGGTTCACACTTGGCTCTTGGGGACATCATGTCTTTGAATCTGTCTCCTAATCCATTAGGTTGTAAACTCCTTTAAGATGGGGACTGGCTTTTGCCTGTTTTTGTATCCCCAGTGTCTGGTATATAATAGGTGCTTTGAAAATGTGTCTATTGACTTACTAAGGAATAATGGCGATAGTACTTGTAACACCCACCCCCCCACAGGGTTACTGTGTAAGGAAAGTAACATAAAGCATTATACAATAGTGTGTAGTCACTACCATTTCTCTTCTCAAGTCCTACAGAGATGACTCATCACAGCGGAAAGATCACTCCAAATGTTCTAAGGCCACGCCAGCAGCCTTTAAAGACACTACATGAAGGCAGGAAGTCCTCTGAGTATGGGTCTAGTACTGGATTACACGTCTGCTGTCAAAAGACCAGCAGAGTTCAACTGAAAGGGGGCTTGACACCAGGCTAGATGCAAGATGCTGAACTTTTCTGACATGGCAAGTAACTAAGTGATAGAAAAGCTGTGCATGGATTATTGGGGGAGTTGGGGAGGAGGGGAGAAAAGTGTGCTCAATGTGATACAACTGCGGACCTCTAAAGTATCATTAAGAAGCTTGAAACTATAGACTCATCTTTGCCAGAGGTTCTTAAGAAGAATAGAAACAAAATCTTTC